AATGGCACCGATAAACCCATCGCTAAAATAGTCTATACATTTCCGTGGCTCTGTATGCATGCTAGTGTACATGCGCACGTAAAATTAGACATTCAAGGAGGGGGCAAGGAGAGGCGTCGGAGTCAAACCCTCACTCCATTGGCTACATTATTGGCACCCTCACATACGGCAAGACGAATACACTCAGCCACCATTGGGCTACGGTGGTAAATACTAACGCAGTCATGAGGATTTGCGAGACAACCGCTTTATGTAACGTAACACGTGCGGAGGCACGCAGTTAAACCATCGAGCTCGCAATGCGAGAAGTAAAAAAAAAGATACACAAAAAGGACAGCAACGTCTACGGCGGCGGCTAGACAGAGCTGCGGCGCCATTTTGATTACCGCCGTATAACGCGCCCGCACGACTCCCAACATTCTTTTTTTATTCCGGGTTTCGCGCGGCGAGATATCCGCTCGGTAACGACCCATTTACGAGCCAAGTGCCGCGAGGGAACTAGCCCCCTTTTCCCCCAGCCTCGTGTGCACGCACGCACACTAACTATCGCACTCAGGCGATGGCTGTAGCGCTGCCCGCTCAAAATAGTGAGCCGCCGTTGCCCTTCCCCACCACACCTCTCACTTACCACCCGCCACCACACATCGTCCTAATACGACCGAGACACGCAAACGACGCCTCACCTCGCCCCCTCCGCCCTCTCGAACTGATAGCACCGCTTTTCTCCCCCCTCCTTGGTGGCTGCCTAATACCGTGCAACGTTCGACCACGTCCCAGAGGAAAAGCAGATAGGCACCGAACCACAAATCAAAGCAAGCTCAGAACGTTTCCAGCCTAAATGACCGCCTTCAGCAGTATTTCTCTCACTGCATGTTTTGCTTTTCTTTCTTTCCAAACGATCTGTGCACCTTCTCCACCTCAAGGTGGCTTTCTGTACGAGGCACCACTTTCCTCAAAATATTCTACATGTCCCGACTCTCTCCCTCTTTCACACACACACACACACACACACACACACACACACACACACACACACACACACACACACACACACACACACACACACACACACACACACACACACACACACACACACACACACACACACACAGAGAGAGAGAGAGAGAGAGTAAAATGTGAAAGACCGCCACAACGGGTCAATTTTATTGCGCGCAGGACCTTCACGAGGCCCGGACGTCTTCGCTAAACGTGCGCTGCCGAACGAAATTGGACGGCGAATAATGCGGCGATAGAAAAAAAAAGCGAGAAGCAGAAAAACACCCTCTCCTTTGGCGTCCTCCTTTCCTTTTACGAGCTCGTAAAACGAGGCGCATCATCCGAGCGGTCCGAGACGCAAAAACATTCGCGCACAACTGACTGCATCAGCGGACTATACAGTGCGCCCACCCTCGACGGAGAATACGATCGGAGGGAGACAGCAAAGCAACAATAATAACAAAATAAAGGAAGCAATCAAAGGAGACATTGTGCGAGCAGAGAAATAGCGCCTTTTCCTTTCTCCTCAGCCTATCATCCTCCTAGACAGAGAAAGACGGGGCGTCCCGGTCTATTTAAGCGGCTAAATGAAGCCCTCACACATGGGTGGTGTGGACGTTTCCTCGAGACGCTGCGACTACTTGTCAGCTGCCGCTAAACCCCCAGCCGTATATGTACGCCTGTACAAGCTGACTGGGGCGTGTCAGTGCGGGTATACAGGCCGTACAGAAGATCTGGGCGATCGAGCCCCCCGTAATGGCCCGGCTTCCCAAACTGCAGTCGTAGCTTTCACCCTGCTTGCATGCAATCCCCGAGATGGAGGGATAAAGAGGCGTGCGCTCTCCTTCAAGGGCTTCCCGGTATATTTGCGCTACTGCAAAGTTAAAAGCCGTAAGGCAAACACTACGCGTCGTAATTGAACGCCGTACACTCCCATCCCTCGATCGTCGAAAAGAGGTGAGCCTTCTCTTCTCAACTCTCGTTCTTCCAGACGCGGGTGGGCGTATAAAAGGCTGCAAACTACAATCTGGCCCCTTTCGACAGACGCGACGTGAGCCGCCTATAGCTATAATGACAAGCCGGTTGACTGCAACTGTTAAAGATGATCTACGCGGCGCTTGCAGCGGGGGAAACGAGCCCATTTGCTGCCTTCAAAGGAAGTCACGATGACTGGGATAGTTACAAACTACGGTCGCGTGGTAGCAATAAGTTGAATGCACGTGCCAAGAAAATAAAGAAAGGGTGGGGGAGGACAGCGTTACCCATAATGCACACATATATAGAAGAAGTACGCGCGGCAAGGAGGGGGGCGGGTGTTCGAACCTCCCCTGAAAATTTTCAATTTTTACGTGTATATACGAACATACATATAAAGAATCGTTGAGCCAACAACGGAATAAATTTCTGGCGAAGCCTCTGGCAAGAAAACGAGGTCGTACGAAAAACAACACTTACTTGGATGGTGAGCTGGTCCAGAGAAGAGATCAGATCCTGCGTCGGACGCCTGCAAAGAACGAAACACCTGTTGTTAGACGCACGTGAACACACAAACTATATAGCCAGTATACGACACGCTCACTCAATATTGTACCCCCCCCTCCCATTTGCACACAGCCAGACACTCATTCACTATGCATATACACATTTACAGCACAACCCACTAAATGACTCGATCGTGGAAGGCACATGAAGACAATTCCACGCACAGGCTACATCAGAACAAAGAAAGCGCTTCAATATTTGGCCAACGAACTCGGTCGAAGAGCGCATTCTAATAATGTCGAGACACGTACCCTCTCACAAAATCCATGTGCGACGGTAGCTTACGCGTCATCAATGACCTCTTCTAATTGATGTTACTCTCATCTATAGGGGCATATGTTAAATAGCAGGTCCGTTCGTAACATTAATCGATCAGACAGAAGGATCTTTTGTGTATGTAGATCGTTCTGCTGACTGCCACTAACTGTGTTTCGCTATAGCAGAACATTATATTTATTTATTTATTGTACTAAATGTCAACATCGATTGCGACGACCCTCCGCGACACGCTGCGAGCAAACCGTAAATGTCGTGCTCCGTGTCCGACACCAAACTACCATTCATCGCGCACAAGCTGGGAATCACATACATCTTCACCGTCGGCATTATTACACCTCTCCGCGACAACTTTCCGGTAGCTATCAATTCAGTACACGTGTTGCGAGAGCACGCGCGGTCTTCGGGCTTTACGCGACATGATGAATCATTTGCGAGCGCCCGGGAAACACACGCAGTAAACTGGGTCAAGGTCGCTCTAACTTCGAATGCTCGGTGAAGATATAGGCCGCATGTACAGCAGCTTTTACGTTGCAACTATGGCGGCCCGCTATATAGTTCAGAATGCGGAAAACGACTGCATCCCGCACCACATTGAAATAATAATAATATTAATAATAATAATATAATAATAATAATAATAATAATAATAATAATAATAATAATAATAATAAACAGTGCACCTCCATTTTGCCTAATGGTAATCGAGGTCTCGCTTGGGCGGTTATAGTAATGCGAAGGAAGTTCGAGCAGCGCAACGAGACAGAGCCGTAGAAATTCAATGCGAGACTACAATTTTGAAAACTTGTAAAATTACGCAATCTTGTTCTGTTCGTTAGAACGTTGCACGAACACTCGTAAGCCACATGCATGTACACGCGCGGAACTTGACAAGCGTTCGCCAAAAATACCTGTCTGTCACGTGCTTCTACGAAGCCAGAACTGCAGGTTTCTAGTATGGAAGGCCAAAACATTCTAGAACCTAAGATAACCAGGCGACGATGATTTCCAGCGCTCAATGTCAGCAAAGCTCCCGTTACCTTTACATTACAACACCCCAAGAGCTGACGTACATGCACACACGTTGCCGTGCTCACAAAAAAAAAAACAACAAAAAAACGGGGAATTTGGTAGCGATACACACCGAATTCGATATTTGACTTACTTAGGACGATGTTCAAACGAAAGAGAGGCGGCATCACAAGAATCGGACGGGCACACACTCGCACACAAAACACAAGAGCACTTCGCAGGAGCACACCAGTCACTATTGTATACACACCAGTCACTATTGTATACGTTTGTTCAGCGTATACAGTTCGTTTCAAGTTACATCAAGAGCACAAGCTTCAACCACGTTTTAAGCTTTAGACGCCACTATTACTTTCACTCGAGTGCATCTATCTACTCCATTTGTTCGCCCGCTTTCATCCACGTTCTTTTAGAATATCCCATTTATCTTCGTTCCATATGCAGATATAGCGCGTTCGCAGAATTCACGTTTAAACAAGGGAAAATTTGTCTTTTACAGATAGCTGTCATCACGCTCTTTCGAACGCGTTAGTTTCAAGCGTTATCACCAAGAGGCCGCCGCATGCGCCGCGCGAGAGCGGCAACGATCTGTCCATCGCACCCCTATTACCTCGAATGCACGTACACTGCATGCTGCGGCATACGAAGGCCTCACCCACAAGGATTTCCAATCAGCCACGTCCTTCGTTATACCTGCTTTGCTTATAATGACCGCAAAGTGCACCCACGGCGAAACCCGACGAAACGATAAATCATTCCCAACAACTTGCAGCGCACAGCATTCGAGGCGTAGCTATCGCAAACATCCACGAGGGTCGACCATAAAGCGCGAGCAATGCATCACGAGCGAGCTCGACGACAAGGTTCATAATCATCGCTGCTGCAACCAAGTATATTTATCCAATTACGGCCAGCCTATTTTGCGTTATTACGCAGCAGGTAGCATAGACACTCCCTGAACACGTGGATTCCCGCGAGAAGCGATCGATCGAAACCCAGTTCGAGGAAAGACCAACGCCCAAAAAGAACAGACGGCACACGTGCAGACCGACAGGGCGATATACTCCGTTCACGCAACTACGCGCAGTCTCCGAGGCAAAGTCGCTCATCGACCCAAATAACGTACGCGCAATTTAGCGCGCAATTGGAGCACTGTCTCGTCGTCCGCACCAACTGGAGCGACATAGGGGCAATTAACGAGATTTCCATTTCTCGCGACCAATTATGTGCGCATGCGCGCGGCGAACGAGGAAAAGTCGTACTCACTCGCGACTCGTATACCCCCCGCGTCGTCGACACGATAACGATAATGAACGAAGGTAGTGAATGTCGGGGAAAACGATTACGAACGAATGTCGCTGCAGATTCCAGAGACTCTGAGATCGGTTCACAGCTGCCGCCACAACTCGTAAGGAGAAGGGCGAAGAGCGTCGTGTCGCATCAACACCGAGGACGATTAACAAACGCTGCCAGAATCGGCATCGCACCAGCTCCGTTATCGGCGAGCCATTTGTCACCCCACCATTGTCTCTGTGCAACAGCGGCGCCAGGACTCGTAATTCAATGCGGCGAACGAGTGTGCCTATCCCGTCAGGAAAGTACGGTACCAGCTGGCGTTGCCCTATCTCAATCGCAGCTGCAGTGCAGAATAAAAAAAAAAAAAAGAGGGGGGAGGATAAAAAGTAACTCAATTATAAGAACAACAACAAGAAGCGAATACATGAATGCAGCCTTATTGGCTGGCTATCCACCTGCGCCACATGTTGAATGGCGGGAATATGTTAAAACAAGAACAAACACAAACAAAACATTTTGGAGACTCTATATACAACGTAAGCGGAGTAGATAGATTAATACGCAAAGGATAGAGTGAAAATATTCAAGCGAAAATTCTGCAGACAAAAAAAAAGGGGGGGGGGGGGGGGGGAACGGGACGGAACGGCGCAAACCAGAGCCTGCGAACCTTTAAAATGTGGCCTGCAAAAAAAAAAAAAGAAAAAAAAACTGTGTGGCGCACATGACATCACACTTATTATGATGCCTGTAAGATCGACACACATATATCGCACCGCATGCAGCTTTGCAGCTGTGCGCCCGTGTTCCCAGGAACGTTTATCACGTTCCTTGTATACTCCATTGTCACAAAATGACAGTGCAGCAAGTCGTCTTCGTGACATATTTCGGAAGGAAAATAGTAATAAAAGATAGCTCATAGAGCATGCGTAGTCATAACAAATATTTTACGGCTAAAATAACAAGAGAACACTATCATACAGCAACAAGCTGAAACGAAAGAAAGAAATAGAGACAAGGTCGAAGAGTACTATAGCGCACAGGTGGGTCAGTGATACGGAAGACCGATATCGCGTTCGATAAAAAAGGACACACACACGGTCAGAAAAGTAGTTCACCTGCGCAGCGAGGCCCGGGAGCCTCTGTAGACGCAGCACAAATGAACCTTCTACATGGATTAAGTTCACCACGAGCTTTCGATGGAACAAGCGACGCACAAGACACGACTGATTGATGACCACTCGCTAAGGGCCGTTTCCGGCTCGTCTCTCTCTTTCTCACACAGAACCATATAAAATCGATATATCGCTGACATTTATTGCGAAGAGAACATTTGAGCAGCTGCATGAACGTCGTATATACAACCTAGGAACCATATCGTTTCAAATCGCAGCGCTGCTGCCAACGACGCACGATTAACTGAGAGGCGTTCAATGAAACGGGACAGCACTGCTCCCACTTCCTGCAGCGCTGAACACGTCACTGTGTTTGCAGGTTTACGGATAGGCAGCCGCGCACAAAGTGTCAAGGATTGCAGCTGTGGCGTGCAAGTGCGTGCGCGGTATATCTCGTCTACGAATCGCGAAACAGCGACGCCTGCGAGGACGCAATGTCCTTTATCATCGTTGAGAGTTTAGCAAGAGAGAGAGAGAGATCAGATCAAAAGTGGTCGCATCGATCACCAAGGCACGTGGTGCCGTCAAGATGTCGAGCGGTTTAGGATCACAAAACGCGGAGCGATCCGTCAGCAACATTGTGGCGCAATCCTGGACGTTCCTGTTTACTTTTTTGTAGTGAGCATTGGATACACCGATACAATCTGCGAACTAAAGCAATAACATGTTCGAGCTAAACCTCCCGAACGAACACGCGATTTGATTGATTGATGTGTAGGGTTTAACGTCCCAAAACCACCAAGTGATTATGAGAGACGCCGTAGCGGAGGGCTCGAGAAATTTTGACCACCTGGGGTTCTTTAGCGTGCACCCAAATCTGAGCACACGGGCCTACAGCATTTCCGCCTCCATCGGAAATGCAGCCGCCGCAGCCGGGATTTGATCCCGCGACCTGCGGGTCAGCAGCCGAGTACCTAGACCACCGCGGCGGGACGAACGAACACGCGGACAGCAGAAGTATGCCCACACATGTGCGCACCCTTATATATGCGTCGGCAAATAACAGCGAGCAATATCGACGGTGGGAGGCGATCAATTATGGAAATCAGAAAGCACTTATTTTTTCTTCTGTCCGCTTATCATTCGTTTAAACGCGCATTTCTACCGAAATTGGCGCACGAAAAATAACAGTAAAAAAAGAAGGAAGTCGCTGTTTTATCGCGGCGGAGATTTCCAGCAGCTCCAG